AAGGTAAGGGGGAATAGAAAGTGGCTGGGGATCCTGTGGTCCCACAGCTCCACCCCCAGGGCAAGACCCATCCCATCTGCCTCCAGCTCTACTCATACTCTGTATGTATGTATGTATGTATGTATGTATGTATGTATGTATTGAGACAGGGTCTCACTCTGTAGCCCAGGCCAGAGTGCAATGGTATGATCACGGTTCATTGTAGCCCTGATGTCCTGGGATCAGGTGATCCTCCCACCTTAGCCTCCCAGGTAGCTGGGACTATAGGCACATGCCACTATGCCCAGCTAATTTTTTAAAAAAATAATTTTATATCTATTTTAGCCACAAGATTAGAAATTAGCCCAGCTTTTTTTTTTGATATTTTTTTTGTAGAGATGGGGTTTCACCTCGTAGCCCAAGCTGGTCTTGAACTCCTGAGCTCAAGTGATCCACCCGTCTTGGCCTCCCAAAGTCCAGTATTTTTTTTTTAATTTTTTTTATAAAGATGGGGGTTTCGCCATGATGGCCAGGCTGGTCTTGAACTCCTGACCTCAGGTTCTCCACCCACCTCAGCCTCCCAAAGTGTTAGGATTACAGGTGTGAGCCACCGCGCCTGGCCAAGTCCAGTATTTTTTAAATGAATGATTTGTGTATCAGATTGCTATGATATTTAGATCTTGTTTGAATACATTTTTAAATGAGGTAATAGTTTTATCTTAAATGTCAACATTTATAATTTGCTGGAAATCATACTTTGGATGAATCTAAACGTATGAAGAAAACTTATAGATATTAACATAGAAACATACAAGAGATTTCATAGTTTTATAAAAGTCTCTAAAGCCACAGTTCCTGAGCTGTGCTCTCAGGCACGGTGGGTCACTGTAGGGAACTCAGAGAGGCACGGTGAGGGATATTTTAACTCTTTGAAGAAAAATAGCAGTATCTGTTGGAGACTGTGTGCACTACTAACTCAAAGTTTTCACTGTTTCAACATTAGTTCCCCCTACAATCTTTTTGATAACATATTTTTGCAAAGATGGGTTTAAATAGTTGCTATGACAAAAGCAAATACCATAAGAAAAAACAGGATGTACCAGGAAATGAAGGTGTAAGTGTCCATTCTGATACCAGATTTTGAGAAGTTGTGCAATTCCAACAGGCACATATTCCATTAGTAAGTATAGTTAGAATGAAATAAAGACGTTCTCTCTTTCAATGTTTGTATATTATTTTTTCAAGCAGCCACAAAGTTGTTAAAGCATAAACACTTATTAAGTTGTGTGGACCATGAAGTTATTGCTGTCAGGAAATTTTTTAAAAAAGTTGTGTGGACCATTCAGTTACTTAATAAATTGAACTGTTAGGTACTTCTTTGGGTCTAGGGTAAAAAACTATTATGACAACTAAGGGTGGCACAAACGGAGAAATGTTGAGAACCTCTGCTACGAACTCTCCTTTAGTTAAACCCGGGATTGCCAGCAGGTGGTGCTACTAAGATTGAGTCAGCTGGGGAAGAGGAACTCTTCCTTTTTCTTTCTTTCTTTTTTTTTTTTTTTTTTTTGAGAGGGGGTCTCACTCTGTTGCCCAGACTAGAGTTCAATGCTTGATCCCGGCTCACTGCAACCTCTGCCTTCCAGGTTCAAGTGATAAGTGATTCTCCTGCCTCAGCCTCCAGAGTAGCTGGGATTACAAGTGCCCACCACCATGCCCAGCACCATGCCCAGTTAATTTTTGTATTTTTAGGAGAGACAGGGTTTCACCAGGTTGGCCAGGCTGGTATCAAACTCCTGACCTCAGGTGATCCACCCGCCTCTGCCTCCCAAAGTGAGTGGGATTACAGGTGTGAGCCACCGTGCTCGGTCAAGAGGAATGACTTCTTGTTCCCAAGGTCTGAAACACTCAGAGTAAGGGAGTGTTCATGGACTAGACAAGATATTCTAAAGCAAAAAGGGGTGCTTAGCTCACTTAGTCCAGTCATTTTCAAACTAAAAAAAAAAAAAAAAGGCAAAAGAATCTCCTTTCAAATCAGAGCCATTTCTTAAGTGGGCTAAGGGAGGCCGATGCCTTATGACAATGAGGGCAGATACCAGAGCCCAAAGAAGGGCACCCTGGAAAACTGCAGGTAAAGGGAATACTTTGGGGAAATTACTCATCTGAATCAATCTCCACTTCAGTGAGTGAACCAAGGCTCACAAAGATCTGTTATCCCAGGCACAGAATTGTTCTAGAATAGAGGTCTCCCAATAGATCTGAAAAGGAAGATCAAAACTTCTTCATCCTACTGATCTCAAAGCCAGAAGGATCAGGGCTCTGCTCTAACACCCACTCCTGTGAGACCCTGGGCAAATCACTTAATACTGAGAAGTTTACTTTCCTCATCCGTAAGATGGAGAATATTCATCTCAAAGGGTATTGGAAAGATTCAATGAGATAACAAGATAAGAAATACTCAGTAAACTATAAGAATATACAGAATTTTTTACTCTGCCTGGGTCTGGATCAAAGGAACAAAGGAACAAAGCCTAGAGTAGCGGGAAGTAGGGAAAGAATAATGATTTGGGAGCTTAGCTGAGTGTGGTGGCTCATGCTTGTAATCCCAGCTGCTTAGGTGGCTGAGGCAGGAGGATCACGTTAGCCCAGATGTTCAAGAGAAGCCTGGACAACACAGCAAGATCACATCTTTATCTTATTTATTTATTTTTTTGAGACGGAGTTTCGCTCTTGTTACCCAGGCTGGAGTGCAATGGCGCGATCTCGGCTCACCGCAACCTCCGCCTCCTGGGTTCAGGCAATTCTCC